AAATAAAGCATGTCACCCCCACAATTTCTGCATGTGCCATTCAGTGACATAAATTAGTCCTTCCGTTGTGCAGCCATTATCATTGTCCTTTTCCAAATGTCTTAGCCACCATTAACCCAAACTCTGTGCCCCTCAGCAAACCCCACTCCCTTCCTCTACCCCTTACTCGCAGTTACTAGTAAGCTTGCATTCTCTACCTTCATTTCATGTCAATGAGATCATAGGAGACTGGTCCTGTTGTGTCTGCTGTATTTCGCTTGGCGTGATGTTTGTCGGGCTTACCCATGCTATGGCACGCTGCAGGACTTCGCTTCTCTCCACCGCTGAGCATACAGCATGGTATTACTCATTTCATTTACCCACTTAGGGACATTTCCGTTGTTTTGCTTATTGTGAATAGTGCTGCAATGAACATCACCATGCAGGCTTGTTTGTGTTCCTGCTTTCAAATCTCTGGGCTGTTTACCAAGAATTGGAATTGCGGTGTCACAGGATAGCTCCATGGCCAACATCTTGAGGAAGAGCCATTTCCAGTGGCTGAACCGTGTTCTATTCCCACCAGCAGTGGAGGTGTGTTTCAGTTCCTTCACACCCACACCACCAGCCACAGTTTGCACATTAGTATCACCATTCCGATGGGGAGGACATACTATCCCGTAAGGCTTCAAAGTGGCCCCAGCCAGAGCCGACCTGAATCAGATCAGACCTAATTTGCTTCCAGGCTCTAGCAAGGAAAATTAAGGAACGCAGGCACCTCACCTTTTGCTACAGGTACATCTCAAGACTAGCAGCAAAACAATGTTCTTCAATGTCACCGAGTGTTTTGATGAGCTACAGGTTTTGTTTTGGCTCACCATCTTTTGGCCAAAATGAATGATGATACTAGGTTTTAGGGAGCTGCCATTCACCCTGGCAACTATTCCCAAATCACAAAAGCTGGTGAGGTTCAACCATTTCCTGGGCAGCATGACATTCCACACCTAGTGACTTTCACATTGGGCTACTAACTGCAAGGTCAGCAGTTCAAACCCACCAGCCCCTCCGAGAGAGACAGATGAGGCTTCCTACTCCCGTAGAGCTACAGCGTTGGAAACCCACAGGGGCAGCTCTACCCTGACGTTCAGGGTCGCTATGGCAGTGAGTTTGAGATTCATGATCTGGACATGAAATAACAAAGCTCAACTCACATTTAATCCTTATTTCCCTATGTTTCCATCACATAACAGGCAAGTTTCCCTCGAGACTTTTGAGATGGTTATCTGAACTGCTTTTATAGCTAAGGGCTACCCTGGAAATGGACAGATGGTTTGTGGGGCATTAGCCCTGTCTGTTTATGTAGTATGAACATTAGTCTTGGTTTTCTTGGAGTTTTGTAGACTGATTTCTTCTACTTGAGCATTTGGTCCCAAACCTAAATCACTGAAGATGCTGAGACTACTTGTGTGTCTCATGTTTGCAATCCAATTGAAAGCAAGAACAAAGCCCAGGAAACATCTGGGACCAGAGAGGTCAATCCTCAAGAGCAGGCTCATCTGTCCGTGTTGTGCAGTTAAGAAATCAAGCCAACACGTGAGGCAAAAGCAGTGTGGCACAGCAACTCAGTGACAAGCTAGCCCTTGGCAGGTTATGTTGTTTTTAATAAATCATTTTATTGGGGGCTCTTACAACAATCCATACATCAATTGTATCAAACACATTTATACATTGCCATCATTTTCAAAATTTTCTTTCTACTTGAAACCTTGGGATCAGTTTTATTCCCTCCCCACCTCCACCCTTCCCTCCTCATGAACCCTTACTTGTTTTCATCTTACACTGTCCACTGTTTCCCTTCACCCATTGTTTCTGTTGCTCATCCAACCCCCTCCCCCGCCATGTGTGCATGCACGCACACACAGTGGTTATACACCAATCACTGCAACCAGTTCTCCCTTTCTCCTCTTACCTTCCCCCCACCCTCATGGTATCACTACTCCCGTTATTGTTCCTGGGGGAGGTTATATTTCAATATAAAAACCTAATAGATGTAATTGAATAGCAATTTTCGTTGTGAGAAAACTGTCCTCTGAATCGTACTCAAAGAATATTAAAGAAAAATGACCAGAAACTCAGCACAGAATGGAAGCCCATGGTTACATCAGAGACCAGGGTACATTTAGCCATCTCTTCTTCCAGATTAATACTCGTGTCAGGCCAACAAGACGAATGGTGGCCTGAAGATTTGCTGTTTAGGGGGAAAGAAATGAGTGGCATTTCACCAATATGTTAATGTTTCTACTATAAAATGTTACACAATTTTCCAGCACATTAGGCTGAATTGCTTGAGTATTCCCTTTGGCGATCACACTCTGCAGAAGTTGCAGTCTTAGAATGCCCCCCAGTGGAAAGAGCTAGTATCACTTGCTCTGCCTCTCCACTCGTTTTCATGTGACAGCCCAGGCTGCCTCTCAGTTTCTGGGAATTTCCTAGTTTGAGGGTCACCCACACTTCCAGTGGAGAATCAGTCTTTCCTGGGGGCTTGAGATGAGAATTTTCCCGACAGCAGGCTTAAAACACAAGGTGTGAAGAGACTAACTCTTGGTGAAAATGATGTCATCCTAGCTGAGAAGCAACAAAGCCCACATAGAACACACCACAGGGTGTGTGACCACAGGGTGTCAAAGGGATCAGGCATCGGGCATCAAGGGAAACCTCTTACAGAAGGGTCATAGGTAGAAGAGCCAGTCAGGGTGCAGCCTAGCAATGATGAAACATACAACTTTCCTCTAATTCCTAAATGCTTCCTCCCCCCCACTATCATGATCCCAATCCTACCTTACAAATCTGGCTAGACCGGAGGATGGACACTGGTACAGGTAGGAACTGGAAACACAGGGAATCCAGGATAGATAACCCTCAGGACCAGTGGCAAGAGTGGCGATACCGGGAGGGTGGAGGGAAGGCCGGGGTAGAAAGGGGCAACTGATTACAAGGATCTACATATAACCTCCTCTCTAGGGAACGGACAACAGTAAAGTGGGTGAAGTGAGATGTCGGGCAGTGTGAGATATGATCAAATAATTTACAAATGATCAGGGGTTCATGAGGGAGGGGTGAGTGGGGAGGGAGGGGGAAAATGAGCTGATACCAAGGGCTCAAGTAGAAAGCAAATGTTTTGAGGATGATGGCAACAAATGTGCTGGACACAATGGATCTATGTATGAATTGTGAGAAACTGATTTAGAGATCAAAGGCAACCAGGACACTTAGGAGCTTAAAGTCGAAATGCTCATGTTGAGAAGCTGCTTTAGAGCGAGACTACAGTACACATCCAGTATGTACAGTATAAATCGGCTACCAAATGACACTTCCTGCCAAACTTGGCCGTCATCGTAGTCTCCCTTTCAGCAAGTCTACTCTGAAGACAAATCACAAGTGAATGTCAACTTTGAAAAAGTGACAGGCATGGCTGTAAGCCATCAAGAACTGTGTCTCTGAGCATGTTGTGTCATCGGGAATATCTAGAACATTCAGAATGAATAAAGAATTCTATAGAATGCTGGATCCTGAAAGCCGCACACCAGCCTGTGTGATCATGAGGTGTCGATGGGATCAGGTATCAAAAACTCAGAACAAAAAATCCTATCAATGTGAATGCGGGGGAGTGCAGAGTGGAGACCCAAAGCCCATCTGAAGACAATTGGACATCCCCTTACAGAGGGTCGCAAGGAAGAGACCTAGTCAGGGTGCATATAGCACCAATGAAACACACACCTTTCCTCTAGTCCTTTAATGCTTCCTGCCGCCCCTATCATGACCCCATTTCTACCTTATAAATCCCACTGGACCACGACATGTACATGGGTACAGGTAAGAGCTCAAGACAGATAACCCCCTCGGGGCCAATGAGACTAGAGATACCAGGAGGGTAAGGGTAAGGTGGGGGAGGAAGGGGTAACCAATCACAATGATCTACATATAACCCCCTCCCCGGGGCTGGACAACAGAAAAGTGGGTGAAGGGTGACATCTGTGTAAGACATGAAAAAAAATTATAAATTATCAAAAAAACATGAATTATGTGGGAGGGAGGAAAAAAACTGGGAGCTGATACCAAGGGCTCAAGTAGAAAGAAAATGTTTTGAAAATGATGGCAACATGTACAAATGTGCTTGACATAATGGATATATGGATTGTGATAAGAGCTGTACAAGCCAATAAAATGATTTAAAAAAAAGAATGCTGGTTCCAATTACTTTAGTACCATACAACTAGACACGATTATACAACTATAGGGTTCCAATAGCCGTGCTGGCATAGTGGGTTAGACTGCTTTATTGCAAGGTGAGCAGTTCAAAACCACCAGCTGCTCCATGGGAAAGAGGCTTTCTGCGCCCATAGAGGCATTATGGGACTCATAATCCCACTATGAATTCTAATCGGGGCAGTGCGGACTCCAGTAATAGGATGACGACACACACAACCCAAACCGTTGTCATCAAGTAGACTCTCCTGCCAACCTCATGTGTGGAGCAGAACTGTCTGTTGCACAAGGCTTTCACACTGGCCTTTCAGAAGCCCGTCACCAGGCCTACTTTCTGCGCAGCTTTGGGTGGGTTTGAATCACTATTTTGATTGGTGCCATGAAAATAGTCCAAAAATTTGGACAAGCATTTAACTGGTTGCACCATCAAGATCTCTTAAAACCCTTAGGGTCTTGGAAAAGTGTTTTGGAGCCAGGTAGGTCCAAGTCTGAACCCCAGCTCTGCCGTGTACTAGCTATAGGACTGGCTAAGTTACAGTGTTTCTTTGCCTACAAAACAGGACATGAATACTTTACCTTACAAAGTTGTTTCAAGGATTAAAGTTGATGTCTGGCTCAATGATTTCAGCAAAATGCTGGCTAGTGATTCCTAGTAATGATCGCAGCATACTCCATTTATGGACCCACCCTCTGAGACTGCTGCCAAGTCTCAGGCAATCGGTTCTGCAGGAACAGGGAATCTTGGCCTTAAGCCTTCATATTTTACACAAATTCCTTGGTTTATTTGTCAACGTCAACCTAACATCAAATTCTCAGCATAGCTGGCATTTCACATGTAAATAAGTCTTCCCCCAGGGGCTCCAAGGCTGCACACGACTTGCCATTCTTAAACACAAGAGAAGAGGCTCCCTTGCTCTCACATTGATGTTTTCTTCCCTCCTTCAGAAAGGGGGAGGAACAATATTGAACAGTTTGAAAGGACTTTACGCACATCACTGCCCTCTAGTGAGGAAAAGTAATTTTGCAGTCATCAGTTCAACTGGATCTCTTCATGTACACACACTAAAAAGACCAATTTAAATCAAGTTACTGATCCACCATTAAGGTGAAAAACATTTTTAAACAATTAAAAACATTTTTTAAATGTAGGCTGACACAATGTGATACTTGATCATATCTTCTTGATCACAACACACAGCTGTTGTGATCAATGCCACTTGCAAAAGCCAGAGGACAGGTGGACTCCAGGTATGGCTTGTCTTTAAGGTGTTGGTTATTTTGAAATGACCTTTTAATATTTAAAATACTACACACATTTCTTCAAAGTCCCCAAACTCTTAAAAGCTTGCCGCACGGTCTTCTTATACTTTTATTTTGTGTGGTCTTTTAGAAGAAGCACACCTGTACATAGTCGAGTATAAGCCAACCCGGCTTAGGTGATCCTGCTCCTCCTCCGCCCACAAACTCTATTGGTGTCGGAGGCAGGAACCTGTGCGTAAGAACTCAGACTTGCTGAGTCACTCAAGAAAACGTTGAGCAACTGTGATCCCCAAACAGAAATGAAACTCACGCATCAGAAGAGGTGACTCCGACATACCAAAAGATATGGCTGCACAAACACCAGAATCCCATCAGATAAAAGTTTAAGGGATTTCTTGGAACCTACAATAAACTTACAGAAATCTGCTCTTTGGACTGTGTTAAAAGACTTCACAACAAGAAGCGAAACCTGAAGAGACTATGTGCTCAGAGCACTGCTTCCAGAAATATTTTAAAATGACACAAAGAATATCCATGAGATTTCAGGAATATCATACTCAGCAGAATGAAGCTCTAGCAGCCAAAGCAGGACTCCTTGGCCAACCCCGCTGGAGATGGATGGACAGAGGCTGTGATGTTGCCCTGGAATGAGGATTCACTTGACAGAATGCCCGAGAGCAAAAGCCACCATGCCCCACTGTCTGGCAAATGGGAACCACTGGAGAACCAACTGCCGTGTACCAGCAATCATCAAACAGGTCTATGCAATGGAAATATGCAAAACTTGTTGAGACCTTAAGATTCGAAGCTTGGTCACGTGATTAGAAAAATAAACTATTGTTTCTTGAAGAAAAAAAAAAGAGAGAAAAAAACTCGGCTTATACACGAGTATATAAGGTGTATTATGTGCCGAGGGGTAAAGACTCAAAATAGCTTGAGGGGGGCTATAAGATTCCAGTGTAGTCAGAGAAACTTTGCATTTAAGATCCATGTCAGTTTACTATGCCAATCCTTATAGATTATTTCACCGTGGGCCAGTTGGCTTTAAACCCGGGCAAACTCCCACCTCAGTCGCCAGGGAAAGGCAGAGATCCGAGGGGCCAGCCGCACACCTAGCTCCTTTGTCATGTATCACCTCTGGCCCCGATCCTCGGTGGGAGGTGTTGCTAACCTCATTTTTTAAGATGAGGCCAAGGTTACCCTTCCCAGGCCAAATCTGCCGACCTAGAAGTCCTTCTCCAGGAACAGGGAAACCAATGGAAAGGCAAGCCCCACTGAAGGCTGAGCAGGACACTATTTGGTGTGAAGAGTTAATAAACTACAATAAATACTGACCCAGAAACTGCTGAAAAGCATGGCCTAAAGATAGTTACTGGCAAAGGGCAGGCCCACCTTCTGTTGACACCTTCAACAATTGTTGGATAGTTACAAGTTCACAAGAAACGGAGTCTACGTAAATATGTAGGCTGGTTATCCAAATGCAACTCTAAGCAGGCCTGAAATCCTGAAAGTAAGACCTTTACTAACATGAAGACTGTTGCCATATTTTTTGAACTTTAAAAACCAGGAGGAAATCAAGGTCAAGTTGAAAAGGAGACATCTCAACATTCTTCTAGCAACATCCCTGTCCCCCAATACGGGCTTCTGCTTTACCAGCGGCTTCTTCATAAAGAGCAGTCATCCCAGTCTGGCACCACAGCAGCACTGATGTCTGACCCTGCAGTGCTAAACACTTATTTCGGGACGTGGGAGCTCTGGGACGGCAACTTTCACCCAGCCCTCCATCACCGTTTTTTGGCTTTCTGGTACAGAACATGACACTGCAATAAGAGCAATGAACCGCTTCAGTCTTATCACCTCTGCTGCCGCTGTAACGACTTCCCCCACATATAAAGGGGCTGGAAAGTTAATTTCCTGAGAAAGAAATACACAGCCTGGTCCCGGCATTTTGGTACCCAAGAGAGCGGAAATAAGTCCGTTGATCAAAACGCCATGCACAATTGTCTGTCCAAATTTGGTTTGCTTGGCAAACTCTTCGTTTAAATGCAAAGGGTTGACATCCCCTGTTAATTCTGCAAAGCGAACCACATCCCTCTGTGTGAAGGCCCTGCTGAGTTCGGCCCGGTCGCCAACTCTGATGTGCACGCGCTGAATGCGCTGCCTTTGCAACACTGGCTGGTTCATGCAGACTCTCTTCTGCAGTCCACCCCACCAGAGGCGGTGGCTAGACATTCCTGAAAACATCTTCGGCAGGCACAAGTTCATAAGCATGGGCTTTTCAGCAGGCTTCAGCCTTCACACAGAATGCTAGCCCCAGAAGTTGTTTTGAGAGTCTTCCGAAATTGAAGTCTCTTCAGTCCAATATGAGTTCCCTACTATTACCAGACAATGCAAGTAGAAAGGGAGAAACCTACAAGAGAAAGAAAGAAGTTAATGCAGTATCAGGGGGGAAATGGTCCTGAAACGCAGGGCAGTGAGTGGATGGGGAGTAGAAACATCCAGTATGACAGGACAAAGCAAGCTGACAGAGAAGTATTTTAAAGAGCATCCTGGGGGAGTGGCCTTAGAACAATGAGTAGTTGGTCACATTAAGCTCAGAAAAGTGATTCTAACTCATTAAGGCACTGCGTTAGGCTTTAAGAAATTTAAGACTTGTCTAAGAGGGCTCCATTGTTTTACCCCCCAAACTCCCATGTAATTTAACATATAAGCGATTAAAATCTAAGATTATAATTTAAACTCTACATCAATCTTGGAAGCAATGAAGTCCTGGGTTTTCCTCCCTCTGGCTGGATGATGTGAAACATACTAGACTTAGACAGGCACACACACACATATTAACAAGCAGCTGATCCACCACTCAGCCTAGTTTGGGACAGACGGAGGAATGGCTTTACCTGAATCACCCTGAAAGCACATTTTCTGCCTTGGTACGATCCTAGCAGGGTCAAGGAGCTCCACAACCTGACAAGCCCACTGTGGAAAGATGAGGAGAGGACACCGTTGAGTGAAGACCGGCCTCTGCAAGGTCTCCTCGTGCTTCTGCTCAGATGACCCAGAAAGTGAGGCTGCTTTCTACAAAGACTCTACCTAAATAAGGAAGCCTTCAAAGCACAAGCATGTGTCAAAAGCAGGACAAAATGAGCCACAACTAGGAATGTTTCTAAACTACGGATTTCCACCCATCAACTAGGAAACGTGACATTGTTAGGTGTAGCTGATACTGCTCCAGCGGGGGCTTTTGCTGTAGTCTTTAGGCCACCAACTCTTTCTCCCAAGTTGCTGGGTGAGTCAGAACGGCCAACCAATTAACAGCCAAGGGCTTCACCTGTTCACTAGGGTCCTTCGGGAAACTACAGACATACGTAACCCAATCACAAGTGTCTGTTGCTCTCTTTGCAGGGGGCCTCAAACTTTTAAAACAGGGGGCCAGTTCACTGTCCCTCAGACACGTTGGAGGGCCGGACTATAGTTTAAAAAAAAAAAACTATGAACAAATTCCTATGCACATTGCACATATCTTATTTTGAAGTAAAAAAAAAAAACGGGGCAAAAACACCCGGCAGGCCGGGTAAATGTCCTCAGCGGGCTGTAGTTTGAGGATGCCTACAGTACAGCTCCTGGTAGATGACACTCATTGTCTCCCACTTAAACTCCCTAAAGCTGCTCAGAGTTCACAATGACAACACTCTTTCCACTCTTAGAAGACTTCTTTCCCTCTCTGCTGTGCCCCAGGCACACCTGCTGCAGATTCTCAGAATGGCCGACAAGGTCTTCTCTTCGTATGTCAGGATATCCACGGGCAAAGCAGCACCAACCTAAGCGTGGAACAAAGCTACTGTCAGACGAGGACCACCATTATTCCAGAGCGAAAGCTTCAACCTTTGAGCTTTTCCCCACAAACACACATCTGATGGTGCTGGAACACGTGTTCTAGCGGGGTTGCCTTCTTCCTGGGCAGCTCTTGCAGCCGAACTGCCCTTCCAGTCCTCATACTGATAATGTTTACTCACCCGTCACACGCCCTTGCTTAAAATGCCTCCCCACCCCCCAAAAGAAAATGTTTTCCCTAATCTCTAACATTAAGCTCAATCTCAGGGGACCCTGTGCTTCCTCTAGCAAGTTCTCCCCTGAAATGAACCAAGTTGATCAGTTCCATGGGGCCAAGGACCATTTCTCTTTGCTTACAGCTGCATCTCTGGGAGCGGTGCTATTTCTGGCACCTACACGGGGCTTCAAAACTTTGTGGAAAAACGTCAAATATCTTTTAATTCCATTTTCCACGAACTTTTCGAAGACCTTGTAAGAGAAGACCCTTATACATCTAAGATTGTTTTATGAAACCTTTTCTTTGAAAAATGAGATTCACCACTTTGCAAAGAACGTACGAGGAGGCCCTCCTCCCCCAATGGCAGTACCTTGCACAACAGCATCAAACCAGGAAACTGAGTACAACGCAGTTGGATTTCATCAGTTATAGTCAAGTTTGTATGCGAGTGTAACTTGATGAACTTTCATCACATACAGAGCTTCCCAGTAACTACGGTCACAATCATAAAAAAGCACTGCAGTATTACCTCAAGACTCCTTCAGCCTACCCCTTTCCAGTCACACCTGCCCGTTCTCCCACCACTAAGCCCTGGCAAACACTATCTGTTCTCCAGGTGACATAAATGAAAGTATAAATGCACCACAGCTTGCTTCTTGTTACCCAGTGCAGGACAAGTGGGGTGATTCCAGGTTTGCGCAATTACAAAAAAGCAGCTATGAACATCTGTGTATAGGGGTCTGTTTTACTTGTTTTTGTTTTAGCACAGACGTTTTTCTTTCTTTCGGATGAACATCTGAGAATATAAGTGTTAGGTCATATGACAGCTGCATGTCTAGATTGTTTACAAAAAGCAGACAAATCTGTGGCCCTCGTTGGCTGTGCCATGCCCGCCCCTACCAGCAACACAGGAGCGAGCCGGTGTGGCCTGCCCTCCTCACCACTGGATGCTGTTGTTACTTTCCGCTTCAGTCGTTCCGGTCACGTGTGCAGCGAGACCACTGTTTGTTACTTCTCGACGACGCGGACATTACACATCTTTGCCCACAATGAACTGCCAGGCGCCTCGCCTCTCTAGTGAAATGTCTGCTTATGTCTTTTGCCCATTTTTCTGGTGTTGTTTTGAGGGTGGTGTTCTCCACCTTTGAGGGGCCCCAAAAAGTTCCTGGGAAAATCCATTATCCTTTACTTCCACTTTGCTATGATTTTTCAAAAGCTTCTCATATTAAAATAAATCTATCAAAAATGCATTGCTTCTGCAAGTCTGCTTCTGTATTCCAAAACAATGTTTGGGAAAGTGTTCTTTCTGTACTGCTTATAAAGACCTCAGGAATGGTCAATCTACAGTCATTCCGTACCTCCCCAAAGAGGTCCTTCAAAGCCCAGATGATTAGCTGTTTGAACTGGGCAGCACTCAGTCCGACCCCTCGGTCTTGAAACTCTCTGTGAAATCAAACAACAAACTTATGATTAGATTTAGGATTTTCAGACTCACAGCAGCAAGCTAAAATGGAACTCAGGAGACTGAACTCACAGGCAGACCTTCATGTAGTGGTGCTCGGAGGGGTTTTTGTAAACTGTTCTTTCGTATGTGGTAGGTAAGCCAGGTCTCTCTTCCATTGCTGATCACACCTACAGGAAGAATTGAAAGGACGAGAAGCGATTTTTAAAAGACTTCCAAGTACAGTAACTAGGCAGCGCTGGTGGCTAAGCAGTAGACTGCTAACCACAGGGACGGTGGTTCAAACCCGCCAGCCGCTCCTGAGGAAGATGACTCTGCTCCTGTGAAGATGTACAGCCTCGGAAACCCTTTATAGCAGCGGTTCTCAACCTGTGGGTCCAGAACTCTTTGGGGGTCGAATAACCCTTTCACAGGGGTCACCCGATTCATAACAGTAGCAAAGTGACAGTGATGAAGTTAGCAGCGAAAATAATTTTATGGTTGGGGGGGTCAATACAACATGAGGAACTGTATGAAAGGGTCGTGGCATTAGGAAGGTTGAGAACCACTGCTTTACAGGATCGCTATGAATCAGAATCTATTTTCTGGCAGTGAGTTTAATTTTTTTTGTCTTGACAGTAACTAGCTGTGTAATATAATAATCTAATTCTGGTGATGCTAAGGTTAGCCATACAGACACTAAGGCGGTCTCTCTATTTCATATGTGCCAGACTCCCTTACTCTTATTTACATCCTGAGAACATTTTCCTGAGCACCATTCAGCACTATGATAAATGCATGGCCCATTCTTGTTAAAAATGATCCTACGAGGTAAAAGCTATCGTTATCCTCATATTAGAAAAGGAAACTGAAGTTTAGGTAACACCTACCTGAGGGTACCCAGATCCAGCTGTTCCTTAAGATTCCTCTCATATGTTGCCTCTTAACCCAAGGTAGAAGCCTAAGGGAGTCAACTCAAGGGCTCTGGAAGACCCTCTTCTTGTTACTCCCAGCCAACACAGAGCATGAAGAGGAGTGTGATTGGGGGGTGGGGTGGGGAGCAGTTCTGGGTCCCTGTTCCCCGGTAGGTGTTTGCCTATTCTTCCTGCCGCTCGCCCAGGCCAGTCTGTGCGGGGGTATTTGGCAGGCCTGAGTAAGGAGTCTGAGACGAGTGTGATTCTGGAATGGGCACTTAAAGCCATTTCCAGGGAATTTGGAAGCTGCAAGGGTTTATGCCATACTGCTCACCTGGAAGGAATCCCTCTTCTTCCACTCTCACCTGAATAGCTCTTACTCACCCTTTGAGTGTTAGCTTAGATGCCACCTCTTCTGGGCGGCCCTCCCTGGCATTCTAGTCTAAATTAGGTTCCCTTGTTATGCTGCCTCTTGGCATTATCTGTTTAGTATCTGGATTCTTGACCAAAAGGTCATTCCCTAGAGGACAAGGGGACTGTCTTTTTCACTGATGTTTCAATAGCACCACAAAACCAATCAATGTTTGCTGAGGGAAGCAAATGGGCAATAGCCTGGCTCTTCCCAAGACTTACTTTCACCCTTTACTTTGAATTAGTAAAACCCAACCATGTCAAATTACAAGGACAAATTGTGAGGTCCCTTGGTAATCATCCAGCCCGACATTGCTACTTTATAGATAAGGCAGAAGAGGCCGCCCAAGAACTGTAACCCTAATCACACCAGCAGTCACAAAAACCTCTCCTGAGAGGGGGCTGTGCAGCCACTCCCAATGATCTCCAGAGAAAAAGAATGAAGGTCAAATAACTACATCCACCCATCCTTTCAACAAATACTGATATTTACTATGTCTGGCACAAAACAGGTTTTCCACAAACACTTGTCAATGGACTGAACTGAGTGATTGAAGGTAGTGGTAGATTTATGTATTGAAGCAAGTAAAAAAAAAAAGTCTTGGGTTCACAGGCTCCTCAGCAGTTTTCTAGGGCTCTTTTCCATTCCCTACAGTCTCTTCTGACTAAGTGAGCTGGGTGAATGGGGACCTCTCCTAGTTCACTCATTGCCCCACCAGCCATGGGTGCTTTTGATGCATTAGTGGCAGCATTCAAAGAGGTGGCTGCCTGTGGAAGGACACGAGAATGGGCTGGGGGGTTAGAAGGCCAGTAAGCCTTAAAGAGTAAATGTTTACTGAGTAGTTTCCTCTCCTTGAGCCTCAGTATTCAAGAGTCAGTACCAAGAGTCATTCTTCTCCTCAAAACCCTGCAATGGCTCCTATTTCGAGTAAATACGAGGGGGTGTTCCCCCCACCTTAAAAAAGCGGAATGTGTTTTCAATGCTATGTACTTAATTTTTCTTTTTACAAAACAACCTTTATCACCTTCAAAGTACTCTCCCTTACACTTAATACATTTGTCAAATCTACAATTCCATTCATGGAAACATTTTCAAATACATTTGTTTGGATGGCACCTCCCTTGTTTTTCTTCTTCACCTCTTCTATGTCATCAAATTGCTGTCCTTTCATGTCCCTCTCCATTCTCGGGAATAAAAAGAAGTCACACAGAGTGAGATCAGGTGGGTCAGGTGTGCTGAGGCAAGAGAGGGAATGCTGTTTTTGTTTTTATGTTTTTTGCCAAAAACTGGCGCACTGAGATGGCTGTGTGAGCAGGTGCACTGTTTTCCTGGCAAAACCAGTCCCCTGTCTGCCACAAATCAGGCCCCCCCTTTTTTGGTGTACACTGTTACACAATCTTTTCAGAACCTCTAAATAGTAGGGAGGTCTGTCATCCATCGTCATCTCATTCTTTCTGAAAGGAGAAAACCACTTGTACATTTGAGTTTTTCCCACAGCACAGTCCTTGTAAGCTGTGTTCAACAACACAATAGCTTCTGCGGCATTCCCCACCCCCCCAGCAGGAAACAAAATTTCACAGCTGCATGCTGTTCTCTTAAATTGGCCATCACAAAAAAATGAGGTTTGAGCAAAATGATTTTCACAAAAAAATTTACTGTGCTGAGAGAGAACCTTCCCAGGCAACACCACTGGGTAAAATTGCTCCATGCTTGCTCGGGGGGGAGGGGGGTGAATGTGTACTATGTGTACTCTGCCCAGTTTAGCATTTTTCCCGAGGTTTTTTTTGGGGGGGGGAGGGGTACCCTCTCAATAAAGTCAGTCCTTCCAAGGGCCAGCCTGGCCCTATCTAAACCACACCCAGCTCTCCCACCTCTGATCTCCCCTCCTGCCACCCCCACCCCACTGGACTTCTAGCCTCTCTGTGCTACTCAGGTGGACTTCAGCTCTGACTTTCCCCCAGGTTGGGAAGGGTCTTCCTCTAGGGAGCAGCAAGGCTCTCTCCCCCGCGAAGCTGCTTCAGCACTTTGCACAGCTCTCACTCAATTGCACTCCATGTCCATCTCCTCCACACTTACCATCACCTAACACACTCAAGGTCATTACCTTCCAGTTACCTGTACTCCCTTTTCCCTCTCTAGGAGAGGTAGGGGTCTTTCTGGTTTGTTCAATGAGGCGTCATAAAGACCCGAGAGTGTCGGATACAATAACGGTGTGTAACATAGTGTTGGAATTGGGAATTATCACAGTGGAACTACAAGTCTGTTTAAAGTCAATGTGAAGAGTTCTATTAGAGAAAAGCTTTGCAAAATGAGGAAACACAGTCGAAGACTTTTGAGAAAGCGCCCCATGGAGTTTAGAATGAGAGGCTTATGAATGCAAAAGCCACAATAAAGGGGCACGTTGGGGCATTCCTGATAATGGTCAAAGAAGTAGGCATGGAGTTAAATCTGCATTATACTGTTAGCTGGTGTCAAAATGGGAAAGGTTTCGTTGGAAGCATAAAACGATCACAAATGAAAAGTGCAAAGGATTCATGTGATCAAGTAAAAAAAAGGTTTTGATATAGAAAAGCGTTAAGAACTTCTCTGTTGTACACTAGTTCATTCTAACTCTTAAGTGCATCCCTCTAACGCTTCACCACAACGCGTGCTCGTTAACACCGAGGAGAGTAAGGTAAGCAAGCCCACGTTTTTCTGTGGAGCCGTTTGCTTCTAGGTCAGGCTGGAATGGGCATTTCCGCAGAGGTGCCAGGCAACATTGTAACGACAAACGCTACTTTAAAAGATACAAACGGGGTTGTTTAGGGTCCGATGAGATCTGGTTAGACCTTGGCTTGAAGTTGTAGTCCTGTCAAGAGCCTTAGTTTGAAGATACTCGTCCCTCGGACCGCGCCCCATACAGTTCAGCGCCCACCTCACGACGGACGCGAGCTGTGGTCCGGCTCAGTGCTCGCGGGCACCCTCCGCCATCCTAGGGACGATGCCCTGAGGCTGGAGAGGTTCATGGCCAAGTCTCGCCCTCAGCTCGGAACCAGCTCCCCCGACGTCCTCCGCCCGGGGTGCGTAGGCATCCCAGGCTGCCCTGCGGGGCCCCCATCTCCCTCCCCCGGTCGCTCGCGCCGAGCGCGTCCGCACCTGGCGCGTGGCTCCTACGTCACCAGCGCGGCCGACCGAGCCGCTCCCGCAGAAGGGCCGCTCTGACCTGGGCTTCCACGTGCCGACGCCCAGTTGGCCACGCTGGCTGCCGCCCGCGACTCTTCCTTCACGGCAGGAATCCTCCAGGGCTGGCAACGCGCACACAGAGGCCGAGGAAACTCCGGGCTGGGGGACGCTGGCTTCAACCTGCCCCGCCCCCCGGAAGCGTGCATTCTCGGCGGCGCGGAGGTGACGTCACCGTTTACGACACGCATAGACGCAGGCGTGACTTCCGTCCGCGCTGGAGCTGGCCTGGCGGGCTCAGCGCCCCCTGGGAGCCATTGTGGGGAAAGCACTGTGCACCTGCGCTGTCCCATCCCGTCCACGTAGGTGAAAAGCTGGGGGTTACTTCTTTTAGGGCGGTGGTTCTCCACCTTCCCGATGCCGCAGCGGCCCTTTCATACAGCTCTTCGTGTGGTGGTGACCCCCAACCATAACATTATTTTCGTGGCTACTTCATCACTGTAATTTTGCTACTGTGACGAATCGTCATGTATATAACTGATATGCAGGATGTATCTTCTTCCTTTAAAAAAAAATCATTTTATTAGGGGCTCATACAACTCTTATAATCTGTACATACATCAGTTGTATAAAGCACATTTGTACATTCATTGCCCTCATCATTCTCAAAACATTTCCTCTCCACTTAAGCCCCTGGCATCAGCTCCTCATTTTCCCCTCCCTCCCCGCTCCCCACTCCCAAATGAACCCTTGATAATTTATAAATTATTATTCTGTCATGTCTTGCACTGTCCGACGTCTCCCTTCACCCACTTTTCTGTTGTCCATCCCCCAGGAAGCAGGTTATATGCAGATCCTTGTAATCGGTTCCCCCTTTCCACCCCACACTCCCTGCAGGATGTATTTTCATTGTTACGAATTGAACATAATTAAAGCATGGTGATTAATCACAAAACAATATGTAATTATATATTGTGAAATATTTATTTCTAATGACAAATAAATGTTTTGTCTTGAAGCATGGCGTAGCTTGAGTAACAATCTTTACCCTGTACTCGTAGGTGGGCGTATCTGCCTGTGGGCGGACTGCCTGGAGATGAGGGAAGAGCGGTGTCTCAGTTCCTAAGACTATCGGAAGTATGTGTTTTCCCATGGTCTTAGGCGACCCCTGTGAAAGGGTCGCTCAACCCCCAAAGAAGTCTGACCCACAGGTTGAGAACCGCTGTTTGAGGGCAACCTTGAGCAGTATCTCCAAATAGGAAACTGGAAAAACAGGCAGATCTTTGAGTTTCTAGAAATAATTTACTGAGTAAATGATTTACTGAGGGACAGTTTGTGCGTGAAACCTACCATGAGGAAGGACAAGAAGTTTGCTTGGGGCTAGGCAGGGAGAGAAGCAAACTAAAGATGTGAGTTCAACCAAAGTCTAGCCCCACCCTAGTTCCAGGGGAGACCTAGGACAATCGCACGCAGGAAGCTGCAAGCTTTTGAGGCAAGGGGCCAACCCTTCTTATGCCCCTTACTAGCCGCAGGTTCCTATGCACCCATCATTGTGTGTTGCTTTCCTAGATTTAACTAATAAAAACACAGGGCCTCCGCTTACATTTGAATTCCAGACAAACAACGAATTGGGCATATTTGCACTAAAAACTTTGCCTGGAGTTCAAATTTAACCTTTTCACAGGGGTCGCCCGATTCATAACAGTAGCAAAATGACAGTTATGAAGTAGCAACGAAACTAATTTTATGGTTGGGGGCGTCACCACAACAAGAGGAACTGTATTAAAGGATCGAGGCATAGAAAGGTGAAGAACCACTGCTCCGGGGCCATTCCCCTGGCTTGTACCAGGACTGGGGTTGAGCTATTTGACTTCATCTCTCCCACCCCACCCGCCCAAAAGATGGCAGGATCCTCAGAATGGAGAATTTGGGAGGGGAAAGCCACCTTGTAACTAAGCAGCCTATTTCTGGAGGGATACTCTTAAAATTCAGAGGTCTCTAGAATGGTATCTCCCTCTCCACCTCTATCTATAGGTTCGGACCTAAAAGAACCCCATGATATAAAGGTGAAGTGAAGAACTGAAAGGAAAGGAAAACAGTATGATAATTTACCCCCCCACAAAAGAAAAATAAAATAACTGCATGATGTTCTCAGTTTATATGTATTTGTGTGTGAATGCACAGAAATGTCTAAAAGGATTTATGTCTACAATGGACTGATGGAAGAGGGTGGCATTGTGGGGAGGTTACAGGAGATGCAGACTCTAGAATTATTTTTATTTGACGTATTTTAAAGTGAGAGGGAGAAAGGGCAAGAGGATTGGGACCAGGGAGAGTGAGGGGCAAGAGAGAGCCCTGGGTGAAGAGAATAAGAGGAAGTCCCAGTGCAATGCTTCCTGCCTTTATTCTGACCTGCCCACTGGCTGGGGGAAGCGTGGTTGAAGGTATTGATTGACCCCATTGGCTGTGTTAAGCCCACCTGGGTGGGGTTATGAGCCTGGGCCTAGTTTGGACCACCAAGGTGTACCTCTCACCTCCCTGGGAGCTTGAATTTGAGCATGTTGAGTGTGGGAGTGGGGAGGATTTATGGGGGCCTTTGCAGGCATGGGAGGAACAACCCTCTGTCCCTGAGTCTAGCTATCTAACAAATACAACAAGGAAGCAGATAGACTTTGGGCCTCTACTTAAATCTTACCTCAGTACAAGAACAGTTTGTTCGAATAATGTGGCACTGTATGATACTCACCTTCCTGACTTGATTGTTGACAACAAAATGGGTGCATAAACAAATGTGGTGAAGAAAGCTGATGGTGCCCGGCTATTAAAAGATATAGCATCTGGGGTCTTAGAGGCTTGAAGTTAAACACGTGGCCACCTAGCAGAGAAGCAACAAAGCCCACATGAAGAAGTACAACCGCCTGTGTGATCATGAGGTGTTGACGGGAACATGTATCAGAAATTCAAAGACAATCAAATTCAAATGAAGGACAATTGTGAAGAATTGGAAACAATCCAAATTTCCATCAACTGATGAATGGATTAAAAAAGCTCTGGTACACAATACAATGGAGTACTATGCAGCCCTAAAAAGCAGCAACACAGAGCTCCTTATCTCATGGGAAGAGTTGGATAAAATTATGCTAAGTGAAATTAGCCAAGCACAAAGGGACATGTACACGAGTCCACTGAGGTAAGCTCCAAAAGTACAATGGGCATAGAGGATAAGCTACTTTGTGCATAAAGCCTGGGTCAAGGTCCAGGCTATTTGGCAAGGGTCTGACTCAACCCAGGGATGCATATGGCAGTCAACTAGGAAAGAGAGGATTAGAGAGAGAGAGGAAAAAACAAAACAAGAGTGATGTGGGAACAGGGCACTAATACACCCACGGGGAGGGTATCGTTTATGTCTGTACAGGAAAGAGAGAAAGGGACCAGACCCCATCCCAGAACGTCGTGCCTTGAGGGCAACATACTGGAATGGAGCGGTGAACTAACTGAGAGAACATGGTGGGCCCATGCTGAGCTATGTTGACCCCTCCCCATAAGAATGTAATACAGAGGACAGCACTGAAGATATAGCCCGGGGAGAGTGGCAGGTCTGTCCAGACCACACAGGTTTGAACTAAGAGAGAAAAAGAGAGAGAGAGAGAGAGAACTTCATCATGGCCCACCAAACTCTGGGGACAACATCCCTGTTCAGAGCAGCCAATGCACAGAGAGGACTGTAGGTCTGGCCCCACCATGAGATAGGACATTCTCTCACTGACCCATGGTGCTACAGGAGACAGCACTGGAGACACTGTGGAAAGTGTGCCTCGTCTGCCCCATGCACAGTGGGCAAAACACGAAGGGAGTGGACAGGGCAGCAAGGGGAGCAAAGTCACCAAGTCCCCGAGGAATCCTGAAAATGGACTTCTGACTTGGGGGACAGGGCTTGACACCTCACAGACCCGTTTAGAAAACACTCATAAGGGTCAGCAGACAGACCTGGGTTTTTTTTTTTTTTTTTTTTCTCTTTCGCCCTATGTCTATTTATATAAAATAGGTAAGAAAACAATCTTGAGAAAAACAACAGGACCAAGAACCCTGGGGGGACATAGAAGAGTAGGGAGCAGAGAGGGGGAGTGGGGAGCCAATAAGCTCAGGGATAAGGGAACAACAAGAGTCTAAAATTGATGGCGAGGAGGAGGTATAGTGCCTGGTGGGGTTTGATCAGGTGCAGTGTATCCAAGAGGAATTACTGAGAGCCGAATGGAGGGTGAGCATGATAGTGGGACAGGAGGAAGGTGAAAGGAGATAGCACTGATGAAACACATCATTCCTCTAGTTCCTGAATGCTTCCTCCCCTCACTACCATGACCCAGTTCTATCTTACAAATCTGGCTAGACCGGAGTACACACATTGGTGCAGATAAGAGCTCTGAACACATAGAATTGAGGACAGACAAACCCCTCAGGAACAGTAGCCGGAGTAGCAATATCATGAGGGCAGGGGGATGGTGGAGATGGCCGGGGAGAGGAAGGGCGAACCCATTACAAGGTTGTATATATAGCCCACCCCCAAAGGGGTCAACTAACAGAAAGGTGTGTAAAGGGGGACAACAGACAGTGTAAGGCACAAAATAACCACAATCATATAATTGATCAAGGATTCACGAGGAGGGGAGAGGAGAGGGGGGGGGAATTGATGTGAAGGAGTGTAGAGAAAGTGGAGACCCCGAACCCACCTGTATGATAATTGGACAGCCCCTCACAGAAGGGCCACACAGAAGGGAGGACATATCCAGGTTGCAGTACAGCACTAATGAAACATATAAACATCCTCTAGTTCTTCAATATTTTCTTCCCTTACTATTATGGTCTTAGCTTCAAGTTATTAATCTTGTGAGACCTGTGAATGTCATTTGTATAATTAAGGTCATCCGATGCATGAAATCCAAGGTAGATAAACCACTGAGAAATAGTAACGGGAGTAATGATTCCCTGAGGAGAAGGGAAGAAAAAGGGGGCAGGAAGAGGGGCAGGGGGAACTGATAGCAATGATGACTGTATAACCCCACTTAAGGGGAATGAATTACAGAATTGTAGGTGAACAGATACATTGGATGGTGTAATATATGGCAAAATAATAATA